TGCGCTTTGAGAACGATAATTTGTCGTTGGGTTCTTTCCCTTCTGCTCATTACGCCATGGTAAAGATGATAAATTCATTTTGGATTTTGGATTGTGCATTCTTGCTTTTTGATGGTTTGGTCACATCTGAGAGCTATCTGTTGAAGTAGTGGCTATACTGTATTTTTCGGCAATGCATCTAGGCAGGTTCAGTTCTTTTGGCAGAAAAATGGAGATCTAAGCTTCTAAAACGCTTGTGTTCTTCTTCTGTCTCTGCTGCCCTCTTGGGGTCTCTCGTGTCGCTACGTGCTTGGCGGACGTGCGTGTTTTTGTCTCTTCTCCTCTGTCTCTCTGTCTCCCTATTCCATCTGGTAGTTTGCCCCTAATGTCAACTCGCTGGAACGCTTATGCCACCGCTCTCTGTAGTAGCGTGAAAGGTTGCTTACTTTCTCTATCTCACTGTGATCGTATGTTCGTTTGTCTTTAGACCGAGGTGTTACTTTTTTAGTTATTTTTACATCATCGACTCTTTCCCTATATCATCAGAATCTCTATTGTTTTTTGTAACCCAATGTAAATCATGTATGTATATATAAGTTCAGTTTCAGGAAGAGAAGGTGGATTTTTTCGATGGAAGCATGTATTAGTAGTATAGTATAGATTGGTAATAGATAATGAGAGGATATTATTTGTTAAATGCATTGGTGGAATTGAATGCTTTTGCTATTATGCTGTCGGATGGGTCAATACTAGGGTTGGTCATCACTACTCGCAGGGATGCTATTCGTCATGTAATTCTATTTGGTACACAGCTTGATTTTGGGCCTTTCCGGAGCTCTATGCGATTAGCATGTTGCGTTTAAAGGCCGCAGTGTGAAGATTGCAATTTATTTTCTTCTTTCAGGGTCTTTATTCTATATCTTTTTAACTAAGTTCTTTCGTTTTTTCTTTTTTCAAGGGAAGAAGATAAAGGTAAAGAAAGAGTTCATCTAAAGGGATGGGGTTTATGTTTCTATTGCAATTTTCAATAGTGTTGTATCATATGCACGGTGAAAGGGGAGAGCGTCTGACCGGAATTAGCATAAAAACTCCGCTGACAAGGGATTATGTGTTCCCCCTGATAACTACGATAATGCCTTGGTTGAGTGCGTGTTTGTTGGTGAATCCTTCTTTTTAGGTACTATAAATTGACAGTTTTAGTGGTAAAATTTTAATGTGATATACGTAAGAAAGAATTGTAGTAGGGGAGAGGGTATAATGCATTGTTCCGTATTTATTTGATTGGTAGATTGATTATGATACAGTATTATGTTAACATGGTTGGTCTCCTTTATTAGAGATGTGCGCGTAGGATTTGCATTTTAGTGTTAGAGGGGGACTGTGATGTTCGATTGTCAAGGTTTGAGTTTGTTGCTAGTGGAGTTTAGTATGAATATAGTTTTGGATAGGTCGGTAGTTTTGTGTAGAATTTGGATGTATGTATAAGTTGAGTTTATGTTTTTTCAATCGACCCCCCCTTCAAATGGCGCAAGGTAGTGATATTTAGGACAGTGCATTAACTCTAACTTGAGTTCGGCGACCGATTAAGCGCCAATGCGGGCGGAAGAAGAATGCTCTGATGATATATAGAATTTAACATTTAGATTAGGAGGGACACGGAGGGTCGTGTTCAGACGTTTGTTACGGATTAATGGTCTTAATGTCTAACATGGCTTTTCAGCATTCGCGTTTACATTGTAAAAAAATGGTCGTCTTGGGCTTACTGACATTGGGCTACCGTCATTTACCAATGAATATATAGAGTTGCTAGTCAAAGAAGTGCGAACATGTAAGTACACGTCGTTGATTTTTTCCTCACCTGAGTACAAAAGCTTTAATCAGGAGCTCATTAGGCGTTCGTGGACTGGTTTTTAGTGGGATTTTCATTGCCGGGGATGTTTGTGCGTCGTAAAACGCTCAACGGTAATCAATTTTTGTCGGGCACAGAGATTGTGCATGTGGTCATGCCGAGGGACCGTTGGAAAGCTAACCGGAATCAATGGTCGGCGAAAACAGGTATTTTTTACAGAGTCCTTGTCGGACCCAGAAGGAGCTAAACCGGAATCAATGTCGGGACAGTTTACAGAGCTCTGTTCGGACCCCTAAAAAGTCGCATCCCGTTCAAAAATGTGTGCCTAATCTTTCAAAGGCGTGCCATCAAAAGGCGTGCCCAATCATAACAAGGATATGTCGGACATTATGGCGATGTGCCGTGACTACCTTGGCTTGCGGACCCTATGTTGTCGTCTAGCAGCCAAAGCGGCGCACGCATGCGCGTGTCTGCCTTGGCTATTTAACCAAGGACGGAGGCTGAAGGCTGAGGCTGAGGCAGAGACTGAGATAAATCTGCTAAAAACCTCTGAAAAACTCTTTCGTTTCTGAGAGAGAACTCTGTACCACTCGTGTTGCATCTGAAACACTCAGCAACCCTAACATGACCTCTTCTTCCCGTGGTCTGCTCACTCTCTTTCCAGACTGCAACGAGTCACAAGGGAGATAACTGGTGCGGTTGCCCTTAGAACTCAACCAGCGCCCTGAGTTTGCTCCGTTGACCTTTCCTATGCGGTCTGTGGAGCAGAATGGCAGCAAACTGATATTCGAGGCCAATCAGGTATACCTTGAAGTCATGTGTGGAGACGATGACGGCAGTCACACAACTTGTCGCACCGGCTTCAGAGTAGGACAAATGAGGTGCAGCAGTTAAAGCCCAACTGGCTCTGCTCCAGCGCATGTATAAGGAATGCGCGAGCAGAAATATGGTGTACTAAAGGCGGAAAACAAGGAAGCTGAAGCGGAAGGCCACGTTATGTCCGATTTGGAGGTCGCCATATGCGCAGTGGAGGAGCAGGAGGGAGTGAAGGTGCTCGCGGGCGGGAAACACAGAGGCAGCACCGTCAAGGGCCGCCCAGGACGGAGGCAAGAAGAAAAGACGGCGGCAGAGTAGAGAAAAAAATCCCACTGTGGTGTGGTTGTTTTTGTTGTGGTTTGTTTTGTTGGTTTGTTTTGTTTGTTTATCATCGTGGTGATCTTGTGCATTTAGCAGTTGTTAGCAAGGTCTCATTTTAAATTGTTATTATAATAATTTCCCAAGTCTTTGAAAATTACATTTAGGCCTTGTTTGTTATAACCTAAAAAGTTTAAAAAGTCAAAAAGTCACTATCCTATTTAAGTCACATCATCTTATTTAAGTCACCTCACCTCTCTACCACATTACTTCAAACCCAACCCATATTTCATAAAAAAATCAAAAAGTACAATTATTTAGGACATCTCAAACCACCCCTATATTTGTTCTGAAAAAACAGATCAAATAATTTCATCTTGTTAATAGAAATTTTAAGCTGGATAAGGTGGAAGAGGACAGTTAGTTTAGAATTCATATCAGATAACTTTATACAGATTTAATGATCCTTAGAAGGAAAAGTATGACATATTTGTACTTTCCTCATCAACTAAAATCAGCAAAATTCAGTTTCAAATGTAAAGAAGTTCAGCTTGTTACAGGAGAAAACCAAAGATATGGTGTTTACCATTATTCAAATATCAAAGCACACTATTTTGCAGAATCTAACCCTTGGTTCTCAGTGGTCGAAGTGATCTGCACACAGAATAGAACCAGTAAATACAACCATCAGTACGAAACACGATGTTTGGCGGTAACATAGTACTATAACACATTATGACACGCTAACAAACTTCAATAGACATTTATAAAACTTAATCCTTCTAATTACTTTACAAAGAGAAGTACAGACAAGTTCAACCTGATATCCTCTTCTGAGCCATTTTCAATTAAATTACTATTCTGTCATTAACTTTAGACAATAGATGGTGTCTTTGAAGGAGACAAAAAAGAGAAAAGATGGGTCTATATATTTTTCCATCAATAATGAACTAAATTAAATCGTATTATCAATTTTCAAAATCTAGTCAAAAAAATGCAGCTGCCGCTATGTAATCTTGTTTAAAATGTGAAAAGCTTCGGGTCAGAAGAAAAAGAAACCCTTATTCAATCAGGTCAGAATTTCCGAGCACAGACATAACAGTATTCTGTAGGACCTAACCCCAATTCTCAGCAGTTGAAGCAGGATCCGCTGAAAGGATCTAACAGCAAATCCAATTGTCAACCATCAGTCTTTATAAAGCGCAAATGAAACCAAAGAAATATGATACCTTAGGGAGACTCCTAGGAAAGCCCTCCAGAGAACTGAGTTGCTCCTATACAATCTTGTTTCAAATTTGTTGTTAGATTCTGAAGTTGGAACTATAAAAGCCACTGCCTACCAATCAATCCTTCCATGCAAGACCAGCTAAAACAATCATCATAAAAATAAAAATGTAGAAATAGAACTGAACAGAACAATCCTACCTATCAAGTCTTTGATTCACGGTATTCAAACAAAAATAGAACTGAATTGCGAGCAAACAAGTTAAAGACACTGATAATAACAAATAATTTAAATAACTATCCAATACAATCCAGGGCCCTTGCAAAATCTAGACTAGAAACAAAACAGAAAAAACACAAATTAATCGAAAAAGGGCTGGCTAAAGTTAACAACTTAAAAAGAGGACATGATCGTCCTCCACAAGAGCGAGTAACAGAGAAACAAGCACTTCAGAAAGAAGGCAAGACCCAAGCTGGAGGACAAGTATAACTAAGGGATTCTCCTTTGTAGTTGAGTGGTTCCTTGCTTCCATCTTCCAAGTTGTAAACACCCATGTCCTTCCCACCTCCTGGGTTGTTGTCAACTGGGTATGTGTACATGTCCATGTAATCGTCAGTATAATATATACAATTGGGCTTGATTGCTGGGAAAAACCTAGAGGCATCAACAGAGATGGAAGCACTGTGACCCAAGAAGAGTGCTCTTCCCCCCAAATTGTTAATCTCTTGCCATCTCGCCTCCTTGCTCAAATCAACCTCATACACTTTAAAGGAAGTGGTCTCATAAGTTGGGTCTGTGTCGTCACCTGGATGTATTACATATCGCGCAACCACCAATAATTCTGCACCCGATTCAACCAGGTAGGGCTGCATATACCAAAGCAATTCACTTTTTATTCCTCCAACTCTTCGCGCCACCGTTGGATTAGGACCCCCAACGTCCCAAACAAAAATGGAGCCTTGATTACTTAATGCATAAAATTGGCCCTTGTAATAAATAACATCCTCGTACAGGAAATCACGGGTTTCTATGACAGTCCAAGAATTCTCTCCGCCGGGTCTCCAAAAACCGAGGTGTTTGGCAGCTCCGTGAATAACCATGAGTACGTAGTTTGGAGTAAGAGAAGGGGATGCAGATAAGACTGCCTTGAATACGAAATCCACAGGATCCATCGGATGCTGGTGAAAATATTTGAAGGTAGTTTGATGGGGAAGCCCAATTTGAAGGCGTGAGAATGGATGCAACAGTCCCATCTCGCCGTCTTTTGTTATGGTTACCAACCATCCCAGTGTTTCAAAACAACGTTTACCTCTGGCTTCCGGCAGAGGGACTTTGTGAATCATGCCTTTCGATAGACTGAAAAATTCACGCATATTATTATTAATGCCTTCTTCTTCTTCTTCTTCTTCTTCTTCTTTTTCAGAGAGCATGAGCCAGGGAAGTTGAGGGGAGGACGTATTGAAATTTTGCTTGACTGCAACAGATCGCCATGAAGTGCATACACCACCAAAAGCAACAAAATCTTCAAACGAATCTACTCGATTCACAATCAGAATCAAAACATCTGGCACAATTTCTGCCCAATTTCCCATTTATATTTTGTACCTAAATACTGGAATATATTTTAATATTATGTACGTTCCAACTTCGAACCCAACCTTGTTACCTTGGAATAACAAGGAACCTAACCTAACAAGAAAACCTACAAGACTATGTATTTATAACCCCCCACAATCCGCCTAATGTAATTCAAACCTAATCGCAATAGGAATAGGAATACTAGGAGACAGTTTCAGTGAGGTTTGGAGTCTCACTATTTTTTATTAGGATAAATTACAAATAGACCCTTAAAATACAAATTGCTCTGTATAATTTAAAAAATTATAAATATTTTATCATCAGAAATTGACAGCCATAGCTCTCCGGGAACTTGCTATTTCTCCACTTCGTCTCTGTCTCTCGCTCTCCTGATTCGTCCCTGGTTCGTCCGTCCGTCCGCCATTTATCATCAATCTCTCGGTCTCCTGAATCTTTGATCGCTTTTTCTCAGGTAATATTTTTCCCCCCATTCTCTGTCTCTTTCTCTCGCTTTCATACATACATACATTCATCAATCTTTGTGTATGTCTGCAACGCCGAGTGTGAACAAATTAGATAGACTTAATCAGTTTGAGAATACATTGAGAAATAATGTGTTCCATGTGAATACATTCAAAAAAAAGTTGATTTAGCCTTACAACATTAGATAGTTGATTTAGCCTTACAACATTAGAAGTATGGCCACACTGATTTTCTGAAACATTCATGGTAAATTGATGTGTTCAGTGTGGCAACACTGATTTTCTGAAACAAAGTTATCAGAAATAGTATACTCTGTCAAATACTATAGAAGTATGATCTGTATAGCTTATAATTTATTTATTTATTTTAATGATATTGAAGATGGTGTTTTGTTTACTTTCATGGTAAATTGATGAAAAACTTGTGTTATCAACAAGTAGTGTCAACAATGGCAGTCATTCAGTACTTTAATCAGTGAAATGTATTGATTAGAAAGAAAATAAGCATCTACATAAATAAAATTTGTTGACTAAAGATCCATTTACTTTATTTTTTGAATACTTGTTCTCAATGCATAGCAGAAAATGGCAAATTTCCAGTCGTGTTTGGATTATTTGGACAATTTATTGATGCAACTTTTGTTCTGAAAATCATGAAGGTGTTGGCACCACTTCCAATTGGATTTGCTGTGTTCATGGTTCACCTTAGCAGTGTTAATCATGAAGGTGTTGGCACCACTTCCAATTTAATTCTCTGTTTTTCTTTTTATTTTATTTTTTTAACAAACTTTAGTGTCTTAGTTTTGTTTGTGGAACTTCTAAACATGTCAAATATTACTTATTAGATGAAGTTGTTATAATTTATTAGAGTTTGAAAACTGAACTTACCTAGTAAACATTTTGAAATCATTCTATTTCAATTTTTTTTTTTTTTTTTGAAAGTGGAAGAATGAAGATTGATTCAAATGGTGGTGACAATCCTTAAGTAAATGAGGTTAAAGAATTTGAAGAACCAAAGAAGGGTATGTGTTTTAGGTCAAGAGAAGAAGTGTACACATGTTTATGGAAAATATGCTAAGTATGTTGGATTTTCTATAGCTCATAGAGCACAACATTTTGGAGATGATGGGCAATTAAAAAACATTGCAATTGAATGTTCTCGAGCGAGGGAGAGGAAAAAAAAATCAGAAACGCCATCTTTGTCCACAAAAATTGGTTGCAAAGCAAGGGTACGAGGTAGTCTACAAAAGGATGGGAAATATATGTTAACCACAGTTAACCTTGAGCATAATCATGATTTAATTCCTACTGACTCACGTTATTTTGCAATGAATAAGAAAATTCTTACTCCTGTGAAGAGAAGATTAAAAATTAATGATCAAGCAAGGATTGGGATGTCTAGGAACTATCATTCAATGGTTATTGAAGCGGGGGGATACAAGTCATTGACATTTGATGAGCGAGATGCAAGGAATTACATTGATTGATAGAACTAGAAGATTGATGTCTGGGGATGGTGATGCCGAATCAACTCAAAGATATTTTATGAGGATGCAGGCACATAGTGAGAGGTGCTTTTATGTGATTGATGTTGATGAGGAGTTTCGTATTAGAAACTTGTTTTGGGTTGATGCAAGAAGTCGGGCTACTTATGAAACATTTGGAGATGTTTCATTTGACATAACTTATTTGACGAACAAATATGACATGCCATTTGCTCCATTTGTAGGAGTTAATCATCATGGACAGTCCATTTTACTTGGTTGTGGATTGTTATCTAGTAAAGACACTGACACATTTGTTTAACTATTTAAGTCGTGGTTAAGTTGCATGTCAAGTAATCCTCCAAAAGCTATCATAACTGATCAGTGCAGAGCTATACAAAATGCTATAGAAATTGTCTTTCCATATGCTCGACATCAATGGTGCTTATGGCATATAATGAAGAAAATTCTGAAAAAGTTAAAAGTATATGCTGAGTATGAAAACTTAAAGTTGGCTATGCAAAATGCAGTTTATGACTGTTTGACAAGAGATGTATTTGAGAATAAACAAAAAGAGATGCTTACAAAATTCAATATTTATGACAATGACTGGTTGGGGGTACTATATGATGAGCGGCATCGATGGATTCCTGTATATGTTAAAGACATTTTTTTGGCTGGCATGTTAACTACACAACGAAGTGAAAACATGAATGCATTTTTTGATGGATATGTCAACCCAAATACTACATTAAAGCAATCTGTTGAACAATATGACAATGCATTGAGAAGTAAGGTAGAGAAAGAGAAGAAATCAGACTTCAAGTCTCGACACAAATTGTTTGATTGCCTAACGATATATGGCTTTGAGAAGCAATTTCAGCAAGCCTACACCAACGCAAAATTCAGAGAAGTTCAAGGAGAGTTGAAGAGATAAGTTTATTGTCAAGTGTTGATTGTGAAAGATAAGGGATCAATTTGTACATATAATGTCCAAGAAGCGATGGTAGTTTGTGAGAAGATGAAGCATGTGGACTTTGTTGTCTATTTTAATTCAATTGAATGTGAAGTTCAATATATGTGTCAGTTGTTTGAGTTTAGAGGCATTATGTGTGCTCACTCACTCGCTGTGCTTGTGAGAAGGTGCATAAATGAGGTGCCAAATAAATACATTCTGCCACGATGGAGAAAAGATTTGGTTCGAGAGTACACATGCATCAAAACCACATACAGTGGCTTTGAGGATGATTTCAGTGCAAGTTGCTATGAGAAGATGGACAAGAAATTGATTGGCATTGTACAACTTGCTGGTAATTATGAAAAGAAAATTAAAATTATAGACCTTGGGTTAGATGAAATGAAGGATAGAATCATAAAATATGAATCTGCTGATGGGCGTAATTTACCAGGTTGTACTAATTTGATTCCATCTTCAAGAAAAAGTCCCATTGTCACCGGTTCTACAATAGTGTCTGCTACTAGTGTGATAACCCTGGTTCGTGTTATGCTAATTAATCTTGATTATGATTGTGATTATGTGTTTGATATGATTTTGAATGCCATTTATACGAATATATGTGGTTTTGAATTTTTATCTGTTCACTGTAGGAAAATCTGTTTGATTATCTGTTTTAGAATTTAAATTGAAGGCCCTACCGGCCACAGAACCTAAAATTAATTACGCTATTGTGATTAGTGTAATTTTTAGAGCCTATGGTGAAATTTAATTGAAAATTGATTTGGATCGAAATAATTAGATTCAGAATGTTTAATTAGAGTGTTATTACTTAAGCTTAATCAATTTGATTAAGATAGCCTATAAATAGGCCCTTATACACTTAAACTCACCATATGTTTGAGCTTAAAATCTGAATTTGCTCTCTAGAGAGAGAGTGTGTCAATTCTAGAGAGAGAAAGAGGGAGAATTGTGCATTTTGACTCAAAGATTGTGGATTGGGAAGCTACACTCAAGAATTAACAAGAATTTGTGAAGATTGAAGCTCCTAGGTGAGTAAATCCACGAGTTTAAGTTGTGATTTTTGTGAATTCATGTTAGATGATGATCAAGGACTTGAATTGAGTTAATTTTGATGAAATTAAAGTCTAAAATGCACATGCATGTAAGAAATTGCCTTGTAGATGCATATTTGAATGCAAAGCATGATGAACATGATGAAATTGTGATCAAAGTGTGCATGCATGTAACAATTTGCTATGGGTTTTCATGTTTGTGTATAAGATATGTTTAATGAGTTGAATTGGAAGTCAATTAAGGCATGCATCCATGGAAAATGGGACTGTGGGACTCAACTACATGTTTTGGAGATGGATTTGGCAAAGATTGTATGAATATGAAATTGATTCATGAAAATTAGACTTCATAATGTTGTAATTTGGTATTTATATCATGTTAGAAAATGTGCATATGGAGTATAAGTCATCTTATGCAAGTTACATAAGTTTGAATACAAGATTAAGCTTCAAGTAGCTTGCTAGAAATTCCAGAATCCGGTATGTCCGCTTGAGCGGGATAATGGCCGCTCAAGCGTGAAATGCTGGTTCCCAGCAGTTTTGTAGACATTGTCGTCCGCTCAAGCGGGAAGGATCACGCTCGAGCGTCCAAGGCATATGTTTGACCCTCAGCTCGAGCGTCCGAATTAGCGCTCGAGCATGAATATGAAGCAACTAGTACTTTTGCAGACCTAAAGGGGTCTGCTCAAGCGGCCAAAGCCACGCTCGAGCGGGGAGTCCTGTTTCAGAAAGTTTGTAAAGATGTGTTGTGTTTCATTTTCCGTTCTCTTCCATTTCTGAGCACTCTTAGGCATGCATTGAACATTGTAAATGGAGTAAGAAGATAATAAAGAGGGCTAAGAGGAATGCATAAGTTAAAAATGGATTGAATCGTTTGTGGCCCATTATGTTCATGAAATGTGTAGGATCGAGCACGAGAGCAAATCCACCAGCAGATCACTGTGAGTAATATCTTAGTAAAGATATTTTCAAGTATGTTACTTTCTGAATGCTACTTCTGTATAAGTTTCATGGATT